GAAGTAGGCTGGCCTCTGACCAAAATATGTGGGTATCAACGTAAATCAGTCGTTCTTTATGTCACGTGGCTTGCGCCCATGTATGCTAATTTGAAATCCACATGACCATATATACTTGTTTTATATATTCCACTACCAAATTTTAGTGAAGTAGTATGTATTATTCAACTGAATGTAAACAACCTAAACTAAATATAATTCAGTATATAAGATGTATAAGAAACTACACAAACATTAGTAACTAATTGAGTCATACTTGACTCAACTAAACCTCTTCTTATTTAAATAAAATAAAATATTTCGTAATAAATATCATTAGAAGCAGAGATATAGTAAATTATCTCAATTCATTTTTTAGGTGGATATGAGGTAAGAATTTTGAATTTATTCTCAATTCATTAAAAAAATATACTAAATTTATTTGCAATAATACATAATTTTGAAAATATCATGATCAACTCAACTTGGTGAATGGACATAGTGTTGCAGTTGAATGGGGAACATTATTGTTATGCAAATCTAATAGTTAAGTACTCATATTTTTTAATAAATATTCATACTTTCAAATTTAGATTAATTAATTCTTTAAAAAGTAAAATAATAAAACATATATATAACTAGCACTGTCAAACGGGCCAGTGGCCCGCGGGCTGGCCCGTCCGCCCGCTTAAACGGACGGGCTTGGGCCTTTGCTTGGCCAGCCCGTTCAATCGCGGGCCTATTTGGCCCGCGGGCTGGGGCGGGCTGGCCCTTTTTTTTTTTAATTTTATATTATTTAAATTTAGTATTTTTTTTATTTTACTTCTAATTTATAACTTGCACATGAAACATTTTTTTGACATAATAAAAATATTAATAAATCAAATAATATTTTATGTCAATTAAGTCATTCTTGCGCGTGAATACCCTAAAATAAATAAATAAATAAAATCTGCGGACGGGCCAATTTGGCCCGCTGGCTAATACGGGCGGGCCACGGGCTATGGATTTCCCAGCCCGTAGAAATGCGGGCCATTTTGGCCCGTCCCATTTGAACCGCGGGCCAGCGCGGGCTGGAGCGGGCCAGGCTGGGCCGGCCCGTTTGACAGTGCTAGAATATAACGATTAAATTTGTTCATTAATATGTGCACACCCTAACATATCTATATATATATTAAAGCGGAGCAGCTCAAAGGAAAAAAATTTCCCGCCTAA